TTGTTGTTGTTGTTGTTGTTGTTGTTGTTGTTGTTGTTGTTGTTGTTGTTGTTGTTGTTGGTGTTGTTGTTGGTGTTGGTTTTGGTGTTGGTGGTGGTTGTGGTGGGTTTGTGGTTGTTGGTGGTGTTGGTGTTGTTGGTGTTGTTGGTGTTGTTGGTGGCGCTGTTGTTTTTGTTGTTCTTGTTGGTGTTGTTGTGGTTGTGGTTGTGGTTGTGGTTGTTGTTGTTGTTGTTGTTGTTGTTGTTGTTGTTGTTGTTGCTGTTGCTGTTGCTGTTGCTGTTGCTGTTGCTGTTGCTGTTGCTGTTGCTGTTGCTGTTGTTGCTGTTGGTGGTGGTTGTGGTGGGTTTGTGGTTGTTGGTGTTGTTGGTGTTGTTGGTGTTGTTGGTGGCGCTGTTGTTTTTGTTGTTCTTGTTGGTGTTGTTGTGGTTGTGGTTGTGGTTGTGGTTGTGGTTGTGGTTGTGGTTGTTGTTGTTGTTGTTGTTATTGTTGTTGTTGTTGTTGTGGTTGAGGTTGAGGTTGTGGTTGTGGTTGTGGTAATGGCTGTGTCTGTGGTTGTCGTTGTCGTTGTCGTCGTCGTTGTGGTGGTGCTGGTGGTATATGTTGTCATTCTCGTTGTGGTTGTTCTTGTTGTAGAATTAGTACTGGTCGAGGCGACGAAGTGTCGTACGCCGTGCTCGCGGCTTCTTCGGCAATGTCAAAGTTTGATTTTGGTGGTCTAGTTGATGATCGGCCACTTTGGTGGACGGTTGGGGTATAACCCCCCAATAACAAGGTTAAGCCCAATTCGGGCGGCTTATAGAATGGGCTTTAACCTGCAACAACTTACTAACTTAGCCGAGCACCCAAGTGCGCCAGGATTGCACGCAAAAGTTGAAGCATTTGACGCAATCTGCACAAATGTCAGATCCAGCGCTGTTCACCAAGAGCTCCTAATTTACGGCCCTTATGTTTCGTAAGCACAGGTGAGCATCTCTACAAACTTGCCTGCACATCCCAAGCAAGAGTTGTGTCATAACAAGGCCGCTCGTAAGCAAACCATGCACGGCGCAAGCCGGCGTAAGCACTTTTCCGGGATCACGCTTCGTAAGCACCCACGTAAGCTCTTCTTCGTTATTGCTTGGTCAGCTTTGTAAGCATGCTCGGAAGAGTCTTTTCAACACATGCTGTGGGTCAAAAATAGGTACCCAAAATGGAAATCAGGTAAATGGAGCCAAGCACTAAAACCTGCGGTCCATATCCTGGCGGTTTAATTTTGACCCATACCCACATGTGCTTCTGTGTTTATTTGTGGCTTGTGCTGCTTCAACCTAGTTGGGCTTGGCAACTTGCCCAGGGAAGTCCTGCAGAAGGCGCGTCTAAGACCGCATGTGCGCACCAATAGAAACAAAACCGGCAGAGCTTTGTTCGGGAGCTCTTGGTGGGTGCTTTTGAAACCTTTCCGAGGACAAACACAGGCTGCTGAAAATAGTGGACTTAGGAAAACTAAAGGGGCTCGGGCACGTAAGCTCGCGTAAGCAGGTGCGTAAGGTTCGCCTAAGTTCGCCTAGCTCGGCTGCCCGCTGGCCCTCACCATGGGCGCCGCCGCATAGGCCGTTTCTTGACCTGCAGTAAGAACAGCAACGCCAAGACGCTAAACTCGCGAGGGTAGTTCCTCGTCAACTTTCTCGGAGTCAGCCACGACATCTTGAACAGATCTGGCGGTTTGCATGGGAAAAGGAACCCGCGTAAACAATTCTGGAGGGGAAAGGCTGAATTTGCCTACGCGTAAGGGAAACATGCTCGCTGACGCAAGCGAACGCATGGACCGCGTAAGGAAAGCGCAAGCTTGTGCGAAAGCCACCTGATAGTGACATAGGGGTTCATGTGGGATTTATAGAGTCGCTCAGGTGATATCCCTAACAGCCTTGAACCCTCCTCCGCAGCTCTTTCTGAAAGCTGCCCCAGACCACCCCAGAGCTTATTCGGGCATGAACAACAGCTTAAGCTTATTTGTGCGAATTCGTGTCTTTGTTTGAAGAGGGCCCCATGAAGGGGTGGTTTTCCCTTGAAAAACAAAAAGACAAGTAAGTCTGAGAGTTTTCCATTCGAGCTTCTATCCCATTTAACGGGTTGTGCTTTTTTGGATTCCTTGGAACTGTGTGATGGTTTCGCGTGCTCGACGCGGACCTCCAATTTTTGGTTCTTCGGATCAGCCGCCAGATGCGGGAACGTGGTTGTGTTTCTCCCGTGGGGGCTCCTCAAAATAGACCACCGCCGAGGCCTTTGCTTTTTCCGTTGGTTCGGAGGAAGCCAAAAAGAACCCAACCATCTTAGGGGTCCCAGATTTTGAGACACCTCCATGAGAACTGGAGAGCAGATTTGATCATTGCGCGGTCAGGAGAAGGACAAAGAGAAAGCCACCTTTGACGACCTCTTCCGAAAGCCACCCCCGCCACCCCCGCCCACCAAAGTCTAGCTCAGGGATATTGCCCAGCTGGCTGCCTGGAGAGGTGAGCAAGAACAAACTGCAAATTTATCCGCATGCCAGCAGGCACACGAGCGATTTCACCCACCCCACAAAGCGAAACAACAAAAAATATCCATGTTGAATTCCGGGGCCAGTGGGCAAATGAGACGCGTCCAAGCGTTCAGCGCGTTGAGCCTGGACGCAGCGCTGAGTTTATATTTTGTTGACGGCCGCACGCTGCAGGCCGTAGCCTTGGTCAGCATGGGTGTTTCTCAAGAGTGGGGAACCCAAGAATGGTTGGCGTCCATTTGGTTTTCCTTCGGATACCAGCCAAATGGGTGTCCACCATTTTGCGAAGCACTTGTTTGCCGCTGGACAATGCTGGATTCTGCGTAAACAGCTAGAGCTGAGGGCTTAAATGACCAATCATGAAGCTCGCTCAGGCATGGGATTCGACACCTAGCAAAAGAGTGACTATCGCTATCCCGTGATGGTCCTGTACTCAGCGGGCTCACGAAATTCAGCTAGGTGTTTTTTCCTAAACGGATGCAACGCGTGGAATATGATCTCTGTCAGAAGCAATCACCGAGCGCTGCGTGATCCTCCTCCCAAAGAATCGCCGGATTTGTCTTGAATCAGGCAGCATCCGGATTGCATATTGCCGATTGGGCAAACGCCAAGAGCAAGGCATTTGATACCCTTCTTGGGGTGGGTTTACGCACGAAGCCAAAGGACAAGCACCCATGTCAAGGGTCACACGATTTTGACACACACCCACATCGCAGTATGATGAGGAAAAGGAACATTTGACGATGCGAGTCGCCCTTTCGTGGCCAGAGTCAGATGTACATTGGCGGAATCAGCAGCCAGCAAGCTTAGACACGCGTACGGTCCACTCATGCATTGTGCCCAAAGTTCGCCGCTTCCAGAGGCTCGATGTGTGATACTTACCCACTGCAGATATGTTCAGTGGTGCTTTTAGGATGGCAAATGAGTTTTGAGGCATCCCATTTTTCGTTTTCTGAGAAAACCCAAATGATCGAAAACAACAAGCACCACATTGGGGGGTCCGATTCCTAACAAACAACCCCCCAGATTGTTTCCCACAAAGAGCCTCTGCGATTTGGATCGACAAGGATGGGTGACCCGCCTCAATTGTTTATCTTGCAGCCGTTGCACGTGGGAACGAGCTGTTGGGAGTAGCCCAAATCTACCAAACGACTCCCCTCGGCGGGAATCCAACGGTTGCAAGATCTTGTGACTCTTCGCGTGAAAAAAGCGGACCGCGCATGTGTGTTTGAAAGACCGCAGTCAGTAGAGTGGTCCACTCATGTACTGTGGACGAAACAAATCCACGTTGCACCAGTTGGGATTCACGATGTCAACCGGGATAAGCCACTCACGAACTGATGCAGGGTTGTGTCCATCCACAGTACTTCTTCATACAGTGTATCTATATATCTATATATAGATAATATGTTGTCGTACAACACACACAACAACACTTGTACAAAACGGCTCCTTGAGCCCCCATTCTGGTCGACGGATTCCATGTTTCAACCAGACTCTCATGCCTGCCCTTCTCCCTTGGGTGGGACGGGGAGAACGGAGCGGCGCGAAGCATCCGTGGGGGGGGGGAAAGGGGGGCTGGGCGCCAGGGCGCTGGCCGCAGGTTGTGGTCCATGTTTCCACTTGCCAGGTTTGCATTTTGGGTATCAAAATGATAAGAAACTACCCCCACCCCCCCCCAACCCCCCCACTTTTCTTATGAAAGTAGCAAACTTTGCAGTGGGGGTCTGGATGAAGATTCCGATCGACGGCCATCCCTACTGTTTGAGGCCTTTCTCCTTGAGGATGTTGTTTGGCTGTACACCTTGCATGGCCGTGAATTTCATAGGGACCATCTCGAAAAGGGTGGACATGAATCCCCACGTGTGTGTGTGTGTGTTTTTGCTTTTGTTTTGCTTCAGGGTGCCCTTTTTTGGTGGCTTGGACGGGTTCCAGGAGGAAAACAGCTGCGAACAAGGCAGACCTACTATCGGGCCCTGCGTTACAGAAGTGAGGCCTAGGACGCCTCAACGCGGATCTTTTTGAGGCATACTCGTTTCTTGATTGCGTTTCTTGATAGCTACAGTGTTGGATCTTTAGCTTTGACCTTGTTGATTGAAATCAACGGTTTTCCGTCAAACTCGCACAAGGTTAAACTTAAACTTTTTGAAGAGGGGTCAACAGCAGCCAGGTTTTCAAGGCTGTTTTGTTGGGGAAAGCAGAAGGACAATGGCATGCCCGAAGGGCTAAGGTTTCCAGCTGACTCCCTATTGTCTCCAGGAATCTTTTCAAGCATGCCGTGTCAGATGGCCAACAACTTCGTTTGCGCTTCTTTTAGACGACCTCTGTGGAGGCTCTTAGGAGTGTCATGAGCATCTCCCACATTGCGGGAGTCGTTTAAAAAACTTCCTTGGCACGCGTCTGCAAATTAGAAGCTTTTCCAAGGTGCCATCGTGTCTGGAAAGTTGATTTTTGGCAGGCACCGCTTCCACAAGACGTGCATCATCACGTGGATGGCCGGGAGGGGTGGGGGGAGGAGAGGTTGTGAAAGTTTCCCGGCTTCCATGGGAAGCCATCATGGCCACACAAAATTGCATGTTCCATTGGGCCCAGTTGAAAGTGAACCTGTTTCAACAGAGCTCCTTAAAAGATACATTTTGCCGATTGAAACATGTTGCTTTTTCAACACCAAAATAAAGTTGGAAACCACCATTTACAAGTTGCAATGTTCAGGTGTATAATGCATCCGGATCCCTGTTCAAATGGGTGATGGAGACATATGGGGACTGTGACAGGCAGCCAGTGACCCATTCACGTGGTGGGCCCAAGCTTTCTGGTGGCAGCCGAATGGCTGTCATCGCTACAGGGTCTTGAAGACGGTCATCTACATTTTATTGGCCCATAATGCTTGTTTCTGTTTCAAAAGGAAACCAACGGATGGGTACTTCTTTAAATATGAAAGCACAAAATGCAACAATCCAGACCCCCAACTGTGAGCTCCCGGTTTCTTCACTGCTCGCTAGCAAAAGGGGCACGCCCAGAGAGCAGGCAGTTTTGCTTCCGGCAGTTTTGATAGGTCCTTCTAATTATAACTCCCCCATTAGTTCCAGGGATCTTCTTTCCCAAAAACTAGCTGGGGTTTGAAAAGAATGAAGGTGGGTATACACGGTAGCCAACTTGCATGTTTTGAGTCGGGAATTCAGATGAGTGTTGGGCATTTATTCCCTGTCAATGTCGAGGATGGTCAAGTTTGGGGTCATTCCAAGTCATTCCCTCATCAGCAATTCTTGCTCAGCCAGCGACATCGACTTGTGTTTGGCGGGCTGTAGAACTTCCAGTCGCTGACTTTCTATAATGCAAGATAATAAGATAGTGGAGGGTCAGAAAACTGAGATCGTCCAATTGGTTTGTTGACAACGGAGGACGTCTTAGGAGCCCACCCCGAGGTTACTCTGCAAATCAAGAGCCACCCTTTCAGTTGCCCCTTTTGAGTAACTGGCAAACGTGGGGACAAGTGCAGACCCATGGGAGGATGAACTGCATCCCGGACGCTGCTATTTGGTGTTTCAAGCCACACACACTTTTTCCTGGCCAAAACCCACCCTGGACTCAGCCGAAAGCAACGCCTACCCCAAACCCACCCGAAACCACCCTACCATCCCCGCCTTCCAGGTAGCAAGCCCCGCGCTGGAGCGCTCCGAAAGCGAAAGGGCCATTCGGCCCGGGACCGAAGCCCGCGCGTGTTCCAAATGAAGGAGACTCCGCCCCCCAAAAAAATGGCCATAGACCATCAGTGTTTTCGACCAAGCCCTCATTCTGCTCCAAAATGGCCACTTCCCGTGAAAGCCAGCCGGTATGCGTACACAATCACGTGAAGCAAATGGAAGCTGCCGGCAGCGCTCTCCTGCAGATTAGCGGGGTCGAGGAACCCCACACCTTCCATTTGGATGAAATGATGGCAGCACACAGAAAAAGCAAAAAAAAGAGAGTCCCATTTACCAGGCCCGCCGATTCGAATTGGCCGGGTTCTACTCAGGGGGTCTCTAGAAGTTGTTCCACTTCCGGAATCTCAGGTACCCTTACTCATTCCCTGATTTCCTGGACTTTCGTCATCACTTCACGAAAAGCTGTGGTGATTTCTTTTGCCAATGCACTCGGGGCACTTGAGGCTTGAGGCTATCTTCGTTTGAAGTGTAAATCTCTCTGGCTCAATAAACAAAGGAAATCAAAAATGGCTTGCCCTGGTAAGTGGGTTAGCATGGACCAACACCTGCGGTTTGCCCCTCCAATCGCCACACCCAACTCGCTTTGGCCCGGCTGAGGTGCCCCTTGTGCCGCGAGGAATTGAAGGTGGATTCGGCCGGGCAGGCGGAGTCGTTCGTCGGGCGTGAGTCGGGAGTCTCGGTTTTAATTGGACGCGGGAACTCCGAGAAAGACTCCAAGTATGAAACATATTTACCTACAGGTACCCTGAATTGGCGAAATGTTGGTATATATTACAGTCGGATTGTGTGGGAGTAATAGTTGTGAACCTAAAGAAAGGGCATCATTTTGGCCATCTGCCCGGAGTGTTCATCGCCGTTTATGCGAACCAGAACTCGACCGTTTGCCCTTGGTGCTTCATAATCAGGTTTCTTAGGATTTTAGACTCCTGAGTTGGTTTAGCACAAGTTAAACTTTAGCAGAGGATCTGAAAACGGACACCGTGCGCCCATGGAAGGCTTTCCCGGAACTTCAGAGGCAACTCTTGGAAACTGACTGGCTCCTTGTAAGGGGCAGGCGTCGGGCTGGCCGGTCCAGTCACAGCGCGGCACGCAGGCCCCCGGCAGCATCCATTAGCTTCCGAGCTCGGCCGTTTTCCAGCCAGCGGCGTTTTCTCGGTATACCGCACTCGCGGAACGCTTCCAGCCGGTTTCCACTGATCCTCACTCCCTCGCGACAACTAAACAGATTCCAATCCCAGAAGGGTTTTTGAGAATAACAACTGTTCTTTATCTCACTTCATT